TCCACATGATACTACTATCAGTCCCCGGTACATACGTCAAAGGCAGGAATAAACCACTTTAGCGAAGGAGGTAGTCGCTTCTTTCAGCTTCCTCGCCTTGACTAAATCAATATACATCCCAATGTTTTAATTAGATTCACTCCTTACAATGTGCCGTACGTCCACGCGAAAACGGGATGGTGTTGTCGCACGGGTCTCTAAGGACACGTTCTAATAAAAATCTTAGTAGATCGTCAAAAAAGTGCGTTAATATTTCATATCGTAGCTCCACCCACTGAATTAAAAGTGAATGTTCCCTCCCAGCCTGGTGTCAGTGGAATTTTTAACAGAAATCTTATGCGCCCAAGCATATACCCGTTAATTAGTCATAAATGGGTCCCCAAATAACTAGCATGCTTTCACGGGTCGCCAACCTTTAACACGAAGTCAGTTATTCAAGCTCTCCTCAGCTGCTGTCGATAAAATACGTCTTTCTCTAAACCCTCGATAATCAATGGATAAGTCACTTGACAAATTGTGTACTTATTTATTTAATTCTGGGTTATTTGAGTGAACATTGGACAACTGGTGAGATGACGCCCTCATACTGTTTGTAACCGGCACACTTGAGTTAATGATAAAACTATGCTTCATTTTTTTTGAAATTACAGGCTAATCGCGGGAATGGCTGTTCTATAAATTAATATAGACTCATGCGCTTGGAAGGCTACTCTCGAATGTGACGTACACAGCTTGTGTAAAAAATATTTATAAATAACGACCCTTGAAATACAGTCAATTAAGGACATGGGTCGACCGGAAATAATTCATAGTATTAGCACAGGTTCTTACAGTTCATTATTATATGTACCATACTGTTCACATCCTTTGTTCAGTTGTGTACATGTAATGAAGTTGTTATAGTATTAAAGTAATATATTATAAAATTATAAACTACGGACTCAGCACACATGGAACAAAACACAAACGATATACAGAACATTGACGTTGCACAAAATGAAAAATATTGTTATTTTTACATATTTGATGTATCATGCTACAAGGATGAAAAAAATGAAATAAAAATACAGGGTCATTGTACTCGGTGTGTAGAAAATCGACCGATACAATACTAGTACACTAAAATAGCGTGTTTTGGCTTCTTTGGTATTTTTACCATCGTTTCCTATGGCAAGACGGTGGAATGTGTATGAGAACTGATAATATGGCATTTTATGCATGTTATTTTTGACAGTAAACCAAAACAAATTCTCATACTGTTGACGAATACCATAACGATTAATTGTAGACAGAATTTGATGCGCAAAGTATCAACAATCAACATTCAGAATGTCATATTATGGGTGGCACTGGAATTACAGGTGCCCACATAGCTGAGGTGGAAGCTGTATTATGCATTGTTATGCTAATGAGTAGGGCTTTGTTTTAGCCAGTACAGTGTAGTGCTGTTAGAAGCACACTTCGTTTTGGACTGTGAAGGAGCAACAAGTCAGGTTACTCTGCTCAGTGGGTTAGAAGAAATTCCGCACCATAGCTTTTCTAGGCAGTCGATGTAT